TGCTCATATTTTCTGAAATAATTAATCAATATCACAAAACAACTGTATATTCAGATTTTTAAAAATATTTATCCCCTCCCCCTTTTATTTTTACCGGAAAGTTAGATATACAGAGATGAGGAGAGACAGAGGGGAAGATCTACCATCCGCTGATTCACTCTCCAAATGGCCACAAAGGCAGCAACTGAGCTATCTGAAGCCAGGAGTCTCCTATGGGTATTCCACGTTGGTGCAGGATCCCAAAGCCTTGGGCAGTCCTGGACTGCTTTCCCAGACCACACGCAGGGAGCTGGATGGGAAGCAGGGCTGCTGGGATTACAACCATTGCCCATATAAGATCCTGGCATGTTTAAGGCAAGGACTTTAGCCACTAGGCTACCATGCCAGACCCTGTAAATTCAATGTTTAAAACAATGCCCTATGAGTATACAGGGCATTTCCAACAGGTCCTAATGAGGATTTTAATTGTATTTCTAAATTAACTTTTAGAAAAGCTATAATTTATAAAAATTATAACTTTTTAGCAATATTGAAATCTTACATATTCTTCAAAATATTTTTTAAACACAAATTTTACAGCCTTTGAAACTAAAATATGTACTAAATGAAAGATTTTTTTTAAGATTTCATCTATTTTTATCGGCAAGTCTGATTTACAGAGAGAAGAGACAGAAATATCTTCCATCCACTGGTCTCACTCCCCAAGTGGCTGCAATAGCTAGAGCTGAGCCAATCTGAAGCCAGGAGCCAAGAACCCTCTCTGAGTCTCTTATGTGTGTGCCAGATCCCAAGGCTTTTGGCCATCCCTCTACTGCTTCCCCAGGCCACAAACAGGGAGCTGAATGGGAAGTAAAGCATATGGGACAAGCAAGAATAACATCGATATAGGATCTGGTTGGTTGCAAGGGGAGGATTTAGCCACGAGGCCATCACACCAGGCCATGGAGCAAGGTTTATATTGTCAAAAGGAACAGCATTTAACTTATCAAACTATATAACCTAGTGATATTTATCTAGTGATAAAATATTTACCTAGTGATAAAACATTTTGTGACACATAAATTTGGTGCTTGTAATTACGCATCTTAGGTATAGTGGCGTTACCATAATGATAGAACAAGTATGCATTGAAGAAATAGACACATTTAAATGCAACTACTTGTCTCCTCTGCCTCTACAATTGCATCAAGCCTAGGATTCTAATTGTAAATCAATAGCACATGTAAGTGATGCAAATCTCTGCCTCTCAGTATAACACTTTACAAGATACCTTTGCCAGATTTTAGCTCAGTTAAAAGTATCACTTAAAGAAACATTTGTTCCTTTCACCTTGGAGACTTGTGGATCAAGTGGCTATATTTACAAGCTAATCCTTTTACAGTAAATTAAAGGTATGTGATAAAGTGGCTTTTTTTTAAAAAAAAAAAAAGCTGATTTATTGTTAAAAGCAGAAAGCAAAAGAATTATATAGAATTATTCATAAGAGTATTCAGGAAAACAATGCATTTCTTCCCTTCTCCCTGATACGCTTCAATAAGAAATAAATTTCAAAATGATATGCTAGATATCTCATTGGATACACTTATGATACCATACTAGCATTCTATAAACACAAACATTTGCTTGTATTTTAGCTAGTGTTCTTACCTATTGAATCCACATGTAGATTTTATAGTATTTTTTTCTGTAAGCTTAAATTTGGACCCAAATAATTCAACCTTTCCTCATTAATAAGTTCTTACCCTTCATTAAATGTTAACCACTACTGTTTTTCTCCATATACAAACAAACAAACAAAAACATTCACTTAGGCAAGGACTTGAACTTATTGGTAGTCAAACTGGGATGCCAGAATGGCCAGGACTTATTCTTTCCCAAATATATTTCTATTACATCACATATAGACATATATTTTTTTCTATCTAAAGGTTACACAGTGATTGCTGGCACCAAGTAAAAAACTAGCAGAAGGAGAAAGCCTCTCCTCTCAGCATTGATTCCGAGAGAGGACTCTGACTGCCAGTATTCCAGTCACATGTCCAGGCTTGGATCAATCACAGTTGCTGGAGGGATGTGATTTGTAATGTTTCTCACATTGGGTTTGTCCAAAAGAAGAATCTGTGATAACAACTTGTACACAAGCAGTTTATCTGAGAGACAATCCAGGAATTATTGCAAAGAAGTAAGAAATAAAACAGTAAAGAAAGTGGTTTCAGGCATAGGTTATCGCTCTTAGCAACTGAGGCTCAGCCTGCTGGAGAGCCTCTTAAGCAGTAAGTGGAACACAGTCCAGCGTCATCACACTAAGCAAGCAGGCAGCTTGTAAGCACAAATCCTCCTTGTATGTGTGTTTCATAACTAGGAAAGCCCTTATTGCACTGCACTTTTATGGTTAACTTGTATCTCTTCTTGAATAACAAATTGCTAGAGGTCACGCCATTGCCATGTCTGATTTATCCAGAACCTATCTCAAGAATTGATATGATAATAAATCAATATATGCTGAATCAGTTAACAATACAAATTTTATATTTTATGAAAAGCCAGACAACAGTAACTACATTAATATATTGTGTAGAAAGCACAATTTGTGGAGGAAATTTGACTATAAAATTCATTTTTAGGCATGCAAAAAGTACACTACGTAGCCAAAGCTAATACTGTTGGAGTACGAAAACACCCACTTGTTTCTACAAATGTTTTTTTAAAGATTTCTTTTTTAGTTGAAAAAGCAAATTTTATGGAGAGAGGAGGAAAAACTGAGATAAGAGTCATTCATCTGTTACTCCACTGTCAAAATGGCCAGAGCAGCCAGAGCTGCGATGATTCAAAGCTCAGAACCAGGAACACCTTTCAGGCCCTTTACTGAGGCGCGGGGGCCCACGGGTTGGATGCACTGGATTACGCTTCTGATTGTGAAGCTGGTACCTATATGAAAGTACCAGTTTGAATCCCAGCTGGTCCAATTCTGACTCAGATTCCAGCGAGCAGAACTGGAAGAGCAGTAGAATATGACCTAAGAACTAAAGGCCCTGCACACAAGCGGGCAACCCTGAAGGAGATTTCTAGACTCGTGGCTTCCTCCTGAATTATGCAAGCTGAGGAATTCATTTAGAGTGTGAGTCAGAGGATGGAAATTTTCTTCTCTGCCTTTCCATTTCTTTCTCTGTCACTCCACCTTTCAAATAAACAAATACATCTTTTGAATTACTGATAGATTTTAGTTCTAATCCCTCTGAAATCTTTGAAGTTTCTTTAAAGCATGAGTTCAAGGGCATGTCCAAATTTTTTTTTAATTTATTCATTTTTATTGGAAAGGCAGATATACAGAGAGGAGGACAAAGAGGAAGATCTTCCGTACCATGATTCACTCTCCAAGCGGCTGCAACAACTGGAGCTGAGCCAATTCAAAACCAGGAGCCAGGACCTTTCTCCAGGTCTCCCACGTGGGTGCAGGGTCCCAAGGTTTTGGGCCATCCCTTACTGCTTCCCCAGGCCACAAGCAGGGAGCTAGATGGGAAGTGGGGCTGCCAGGATTAGAACTGGCGCCCATATGAGATCCTGGCGTGTTCAAGACTATGACTTTAACCACTATGCTATTGCGCTGGGCCCCCAAATATTCTTAAAACATATTTTGTATACACAAAGGACATTTTAGAAGGTTTGGAAAACAAATGGAAATGGTGTCAAATCAGATTCCCAACCAGTATAATCCATTCTGGTATTATTTTGATCAGAAGGGTAATCAGAAGGTAAAAAGGTGCTGCTTTTAACTTTAAAGCACTGCTATAGGGACTAATGATGCAAAAAGGCATATACCAATAAATGACTATTTAGAAAGTACATTTGGATTATCTGTCTGGTATACCCCATATAACTGCTTCCTGCAATGTAGGAATCCTATATTGATGCTAGTTCAAATCTTGCCTGCTCTCTTCCAATCCAGCTCCATATAAATGTGCCTTAAGAAGCACTGAACAATGGCCCAAATACTTGAGTTGCTGCATCTTTGTGGGAAACTCAGATGGGATTCGGACTGGCCCATCTCTGGCCCTCAGACTATTGGGGAATGGACCATCAGATGGAAGATCTCTCTCAGCCTCTCTTCCTGTTTTTCTCTATCTCTCTTCCTTCAATGGGACTTTGCCTTTCAATCAATACATACCTATGTAAAATAGCACTTTTTGAACACTAAATAGAACATCCAGTTTTACTGCAACTTCCATGTACTAGTTTTATGGCAGAGGCATTTCTTTTGAAAATGGCAACAGTTTCTGAGTTGCAAATAATTCATGAATAGTAGACATGTGTCTACATTACCTATGTGTGAATCAGACTCTCAATCAGAAATCTTGGTCAAACAATACTGATGATGACAAGTGAAATATCTTTGTTTAGTAGGGCCTAAAAGCCAGAGGTATACCTGTACCAGGAGGAACTAGCTTCTGAGGTTGCAATTATGTCTCTAAGTCAATCCATTGGCTTTCATATGAGCTTTGTTTTTTGGAACAAAGTAACCACCAAAGTCACAGATTAGAGCAGAGCAATTCTAGAAAGAAGTGGTATTTCTGAATAGCTCCAGATCAGAAGTAACAAGTAAATATTTCATTATCCAAGATTATTCCTATGCGCATCACCAACTGCAATGCACAGGACCACAACAGGAACACTATTTTTAGGAATGATTAACTAAAAAAAATGAAAATATGATTTGTGAAAGGAAACCAATCAACCAATCAACAGAGTGTGAGCAAAGAGCTGCAAAGTTTTACAATTTCTCATTTCTACCCAATTCTGTCTGATTCTGTAGGGGTTACACCTTTACACATATTTTTAATATATACTTACAACTGAATTTGGAGACAGATATTCTATCATCCTTCAGTGTATGGAGAGTATTTTTTTATTCATTCTTACAGACAATCATCACATAGGGACAGCAAATCAGTGAATAAATTCACAAATTAAGTTAAAATATTTAAACAAACATAAATTCTTACCTTCTTTGCAAATACAATAATGATTTCCATCTACGAAACTCAAGCACGTTGAGTTATTTCTGCAAGGATCATTGAGTAGATCACAGTGGCTGTAGTGCTGATGGCAAAACTGTCCCATATAAAAGGGTGGGCACAGACAGATAAATTGTCCAGGGATGGCAGATTCATGACACAGACCTCCATTCATGCATGGGTCAGAATCACATTCATTTATTTCTTCACTGCAATTTTTTCCAGTCCATCCAGAAGTACAGTCACAGCTACAATGAGAGTTTAAGAAAACTGAATACTTCTTCAAACTGCACTTTACATTTCACTACAATTACTCCCTGGAATAACACGATTATTTTATTATCAATAACAGAGTTAATAAATTGTCTAACAGACTATCTCAGTGCACACTTAAAAACATTCAGTATTTATCACGGTTGTCAAATGTCATTTTGGTCAATTACATTCCGTCCAACAAGACTAGTTCTCATCAAGTCAGGAGACTTCTTACAGTCAGGGCATGGCAAAGTGTTTTCAACATATAATATGTTCTATTTATATATAAAGAGAAAATGCAAGGAATCTCCTTTTACTTGTTGAATCAAGGTCAATTATAAACCATGGTTGATTTCAAAGAAAAAACATGGGTGACACAGCGTTCTACTTGCATTGTAGCTATACTATTCAGCAAGATATGAATCATGAAATAAAGCATAGAAGTGTCAGAAGAATTATTTTCATAAAATCCTTTATTGAATTTTATATTCCTTAAAATGTTATGAAAATACACAGTTTTTTTGTAAAACTAAGTTCTGAGTATGAATAGCATAATTTCTTTCAGTTTTGCTAGTTACAATATTAATGAAAAATATGATTTATCTTTATTTCTAAATCAATTCTTTCAGATTTAACTTTTAATTATTTTTCCAAATATTTTACTGAGAATCTTTCAGGATCACATGTGGACAAGTAAAAAATTGTGTAAAATGAGAATAAAATTATGTTTACTTTGGTGCAAGACTAGCTTGAAATTGGTGTCTAATTGTTTCACAATTTGAATTTCTAAAAACTTTTTAAAAAGTTTTTTATTTGAAAGACAAAGGGAGATGAAAGAGGCAGAGGGAGACACAGAGGGATTAAAAGGAGACAAAGAGATCCTCATTTGCTGGTTCACCCCACAAACTGCTGCAAACACCAGCTTGGGCTATGCCCAAAGCAGGAACCAGGAGACTCCTCCAGATCTCCATTGTGGGTGCAGGGCCTCAGCAGCTGGGCCATCCTCCACTCTTTTCTCCAACATATTTGCAGGGAGTTGAATCAGAAGTGGAGCAGATATGAGGCAAAACAGAACCCATATCCAATGCTGACACTATAGGCAACGGCTTAATACCTAATGTTAGAGTACTTGCTCATTCATGAACTTTTGGAATACCCCATCATATAATATAGATGAAAACAATTTTAAACAACAGGATTTCTATTTTTGAGTCACACAGAACAATATTTGTTACCATAAGGTGTTAAGCAACAAAGCCATCCTATCTGTAAGTTCATACCGTCCATTTTTCTTTGGGTTTCTTGCATGGACAAGTGACCCAATTTTCAACAGACTTGTGAATTTCCTTCACCAAACTTCCTATTTTAACATTTAAGAGAATGTAACCATGTTGTAATATTCAACGTCTAATTTTTTTACTGTTAAATTTTTTTGTGTTTAGGTAATTGTCTTGTTTTTTATTAATATAAATGGCATATTTTAGGTATTTTAAAGATGCAATTCTAAAAAGATAACTATGCTCTTCTCCATTCCTTTTTTAATCCCCTCATTTCATTCTTTGCTTATTCTTCTAGCTTTTGCACTAACATACAAACATACAATTTACTTCATAAGCATAGGCATAAGTTACAACTAACCATAATGTTTCTTTTCTTTTTTCTTTTCTTCTTTTTCTTTTTTTTCACTTTCTTTCTTTTCTTTCTTTCTTTCTTTCTTTCTTTCTTTCTTTCTTTCTTTCTTTCTTTCTTTCTTTCTTTCTTTCTTTCTTTCTTTCTTCCTTCCTTCCTTCCTTCCTTCCTCCCTCCCTCCCTCCCTCCCTCTCTCTTCTCTCTCTCTCACTCTCTCTCCTCTTTCTCTTTCTTTCATTCTGTTTATCAATATATCTATTTATTAATTAGTCTAGGCCACTGGCAATGTTTGCTCTTAGTTTTTTGTTTTTGTTTTTATTTCTTTTTATTACTTTCCAGTATATATATTTTATAGATGTAAAAATTCCCTCCACATGCAGTGTGTCACAGGAATACAGATAAGAGCTATAAAACTCTCCCCAAAAGACAAATACAACATTTTCTCTGATATATGACAATTAATATAAAATATATAAACATGTATAAAATGAAACTGACACGATTTGATTTCTGTTCAGAGAAGATGTTTGGCTGGTGGGTCTCAGGATGGGGCGTCTCATGCCTGGATCCCAGACGACAGCCACCATGTGCACGTGGTGGGCTGTTCCCGGGCCTGCCTGGGCTCCGGGGGCTGCTCCCGTTGGGGTGAGTACACCTAGAGGGAAGGTCTTCATGACTGGGCAGGTACAGGACCCACCCACTGCCTTCATTGGGCTTTGAATGGGATTTGGGAGGGGCGTGACCTTGGGCCTGGGAATTTATACTTCCAGCAGCCTCCTGGCAGCTGCTGGTTCGTCTTAGGATGGGGCGTCTCATGCTCATGCCTGGATCCCAGACGACAGCCACCATGTGCACTTGGTGAGCTGTTCCCGGCGGCCAGTGTGCCATTTGGTGCCAGGCTCCGCCTGCTGGCCACCTGGCCGGGGAGCTCTGGGGTTTTGGTTCTTTGAGTCTCTGCTTAATTAGCTCCAGGTTGAACCCATTGTGCTGCTAGGACCTGAACCATTTGTAAAGATTCCCACTGGCAATAACTCTTCCTTTGTAAAACTTGTAATCACTGAACAATGCTGACCACCAAATACCAGTCCATGCAGAAGCTATGGCTTGGGGCTTGTCCTGCAAAAGTAGCTCCAACAGCTGGCTAATGTGTCATCTGGTGATGAAATAGAGTAGATCAGGCAGAACTGAGCAAACCTTAGCCCCCAAGCAAAACTAGAAACCAGGAGAGAGCACAGGTCATGCTGAGCTAAGCTCTTGTACCTACTGGTCCACATGAGCCAGGGACGCTAAGCCACAGTGTCTAAGGCAGAGGTCGGGAAAGGTGAGGGGCTGTGCCAAGCTGAGTCAGAGCAACCACTGGCATGTGAGTGATTTATGGCTGGCAACAGGCCCAGTTGGGGAGCTAAGGGGACAACCTTAACTGGGTTGAGATTCCCACCAAGGGGCGTGTGACCTGGAATGGGGGCTGCATTCTGATCTGGAAACAGTTGTAGTCTCCCTTGGCACAAGTGTGGACTGAGATTGGATGCACCAAACCGGGCCAGACCCTAACACCCCCTGGTGTCCTGGAGGACCAGGGCACCAGGGAGTGTGATGGACTAGGCAAGGTCTCAACCCCTGCTGAGCCATGTGTGAGCCATATGTGGGTATGGATGAGCCTTGGCTGGGCTGAAACATCCAACAGCAAGGACAGTTTGGCTTGAAGGCCAGTCAGGAAAAGCCACAGTTCCTGCTAGGACAGGAGGTAAACTGAGTAGGGCAGGCTCATGGACGCACTGGTAAGTGTGAAACCTGGCATTGGGAGAGGTTCTGGTGGAGGAGCTTGGGCAACTCCTCTAGCAGGACACAGACCCAGTAGGTAAGTGCAAGAAACATGACAGGAAACAGCCCAGAACAGGCCATGGAAAGTTAACCACTGGCATACAATTGGCAGGGGTTGGGGGAAGACCAGGCCGAATCTGTCTATGTCATCCACTGGTAAATCCAAGCACCAGAACAGTGTGGGTCGAGCCGGGTTCGGGCACAACAAAGACTAGTGCACAATACGGAATGCCAAGGTGAGGTTGCCTGTGCCAGAAGTGACCACAGCACCCAACCAGCACACGTGAGAACCAGGAATGGAGGGGGTGGAGCTGGCAGGGGAATAAGGGAGGGTTCTTTTGCTGGACAGCTACTCCCGCAGGAGAGCATAGGCTGGGATGCGGGCAGACCAGACTAGGCAGGGCTACCACACCTGTGTGCCTCATGCGGACCAGATCAGGAAAAAGCCGGGCTGGGCTGATTATTCCTACTGGTGCAAACAAAATTAGAGTGGGCGAGGGTTGTTTGGGCCTAGCCACAGCATCACTGGAATCTGGGAGTGGGAGAGGCCTGGGAGGGAAATAGTGGGCTCATCCCTCTTGGGTTACCACTTCCACGGGAGGGCACAAAACCAGGGGCTGGGGTGGAAGGTGGTGTGGGACAGACTCGATTACTGCTACCCATACTAGCAAACCAGGGTAGGGGGCGGGCCTGGTGGGGGTTATTGTGGGTCGCTCCAACCAGGCTGCAGCTCCCACTGGTTTAGGTGAGGGCCAAGTATGTGCTGGGCAGAACCAGGCTGGACTGCAACACCCATTGGTTCCAGTGGAAGTCGGGAGTGAAAACAGAACTAACCCAGCAATTACAACCACCAGCTGATCAGGGCGATGGACGGTGCCAGGCCCTGTACTTGCTAGCACATACAAGAAGTTTCTTTGGAGATCTTCCTAATCTAAATGCTGGACTCAGAACCCTAACCAAGAAAAGAGAGAAGACAGAACAGGTCAATCAACCATCTCAGCTATGATGGATTAAGTCAATCAGTACATTTTTCAAAGACCTCATAGTGCTTCGAGTGGCAAAATTGGCAGCGATTCATAACTGTGGCAATATCAAAACCACTTGAGCAAGAACCTCAGAGCATGCCCTACATCCAGGAACTGGGGAGCGTGGGAAATTGGGTGGGCCTTCTCCCTTAATACCCCCCTTTAAACATGAAGGAAACAATATGGAAAAATACTAGTCTTATCCACTTTCCTGTAGCCCTTGAACCTTTCTACCCCAATTAACTATGTAAAGATTGTCAAAGTTAAAAAAAATTTAAAAAAAAAACCAGATAAGATGTTTAAGGTAACATTATAAGAATACTGCAATGCTTTAACTATTTGACTCCTTTCATGATAAAAAGAAATCTTAGAAAATGAGAGGAGAGTTGGACAAAGGAAGAAAGAGAGGAGCAAAGAATGAGTCCATTTATAATCTGAAATTTCCAGAAATTTCAATATTAGAGGACACCACTTGAGGTGGAAGTTCAATGAATGAGTTTTATCAACATCTGAAGCTC